CAGTGTCTCGCTCTGTCGCCCAGGCTAGAGTGCAGCAGTGGCATCAGCCTAGCTCACAACAACCTCAAACTCCTGGACTCAAGCGATCCTCCCACCTCAGCCTCCCAAGTAGCTGGGACTACAGGTGTACACTACCATACCTGGCTAATTTTTTCTATTTTTAGTATACATGGGAGTCTCACTCTTGCTCAGGCTGGTCTCGAATTTCTGATCTCAAGTGATCCTCCAACCTCAGCTTCCCAGAGTGCTGGGATTACGGGCATGAGCCACCACACCTGGTTGTATCTTTCATTTCTAAGAACTCTGTCTTGTTCTCTGTTCATTTTTCATAGCATCATGTTTCGGTTTAATGAATATAGTATCTTCTTGAGACCCTTTGAGTATGCTAATTAAGAAAAATTATTTATGGTTTCCTAAATTTTCTGTTTCTTCCAGGGTCAGCTAGAATATCTGTCCAGCCTGTTCTACTTGTGGGTGGGACTGGGGACAGAGGAAGAGAGGAGGAACTGGCAGAGCTGCTCTGCTCCATAGCTCCACTCTGAGCAAATCCCTCTGTGTCCCGCCTCCCTCCTTATCCCCCCTCCCAGCCTCTGGAGGGTTCCTGCTCCTTCGTGGCTTCCTTCTGGGTTATGGCTCCCTTCTCCAAAACATGGTGTGAAGGTCAACCACTAGGCTATGGAAACACCTAGGTTCCGATTCCATCTTGGCCACCTATTAATTTTGTGACCTTAGCCAAATTATTTTATCCCTTTTAAATATCAATTTCACCTGAGAAACGGAAATAGAAATAATAACTTCACTGAGTTGTTTGGATTCCTAAGAGAATATATAGCTAGCATTTGGCTTAGTGACACATAGGAAAAGGTCCAACGAATACTTATTATTATTCCTCAAAAGCCTCTCCATCTCCTGGAACTTTGTGGGAATCACTTATCCTTGATAACATCCCTTTCAGAACTCTACTGCTATTAGCTGCTATGGTCTGAATGTGTTCCCCGAAATTCATGTGGTGAAACTTAATGGCCCATGTGATAATATGAAGTGGTGGGGCCTTTAGGAGAGGATTAAGTCAGGAGGGCAGACCCCTCATAGATGGGATTTAGGACCCTTATAAAAGGGCTTGATGAAGTCAGTTCACTCTCTTCGGCCTTGTGAGGACACCTAGACGGTGCCATCTGTGAGGAACCAGTCCTCACCAGACACAGAACCTGCCGACGCCTTGGTCTTGGACTTCCTATCCTCCAGAAACATGCGAAAACAAATTTCTGTTATTTATAAATTTCCCTGTGTCAGGTATTTTGTTATGGCAGCACAAATGGACTAAACATTAGCTTATTCCTTTTTACTATCTTCCTGCTTTCATTTGTACAGGATCTCCTTCCATTACAGAATGGGAAAGAAAAATTTATGATCCAGTTTTGCTGCACTGAACTGAAACGTCTTTAAATTTTTTATTTTATTTAAAACTAGTACCACCCTATAGAGACTATATATACATAGTTTTCTTCCCATCCTGGTCCCACATCAACCTTTGAATGGGATCTTTCTACTGTCAGTTTTAAATAGAGAACTTTCTTGTTCCTTTCACGAAGGTTTCATGAATATTGGGGTCCAGTCTTAGCTAAAACAACGTTACAAATCTGCTATGGTTGCTGCTTTGCCAGATGGGTTTTAAATCTACACGTCTGTCCTGGTGGGGCTCATGTCATTCCCTACTTTCCTATAGGTGGCGCCGCAGTGAAGGGCCGAATAGAGCGTGCTCCGCTGGAGCCAGAGAGATTTCTCCAGTAGGGGGCGTGCCCGCGGGGATGGGTGTCTGCGAGCCGTACGGAACGTCAGGGGCGGGAACACCCTTGGCCCCGCCCCTCCCGTCCGCGGCGCCCTGTTATTGGAGGGAGGAACCGTCATTTAGCAGCGTCGTTGGCAGGAAGAAGAGGGCTCCGGCTGGAGGGGACGCTGAGGCAGCGGAGGGGCGGGAGCGGGCCTCTGCAGTACTTTAGGACGCTTGTCCCTCACGTCTGTGTGGTGAATGGCGGCGGGATGGAGCGCGAGGGGAGCAGCGGCACCGGTGGTTCGGCCGGGCTCCTACAGCAAATCCTCAGCCTGAAGCTCGTGCCGCGGGTGGGCAACGGGACCCTGTGCCCCAACTCCACTTCTCTCTGCTCCTTCCCAGGTACGGCCCCGCGCCTGCGCACTGCGCGCCCCGCCGCCTCGACCCGGCTCAGGGGGCGCCGCTGGTGCTCCAACGCGGGCTGGGGCTTTGCCGACCGTTCAGGTGGGCGCCGTTCGGATCGTGGAGGGAGGTTCCCGCTCGCTCGCCCAAGAGCGCTTTCTCCTCCCTCCCGGTCATCTCCTGAGGCAGAGCCACCCCGAGCCCGCGCTGGGGGCGAGGGCGGAGGGAGCGGCCTCAGGTCGACCTGGCGGCTGCAGGGAGCTCGGCCGCCCTCTGTACACCTCCCCCGAGCTGGCCTTGCCCTTTGGAGTGTCCGAGCGTCCCAGGTGCAGACGTGCACTGGATAGAGCCCGGAAGGCAGTCGTCCCTGCCCTGTTGGGTTCCTCCTGTGGGAGGGGAACTTGGCTCCGGGCGTCCCGGCCTGGCCGGCGGGCGGTCAGAGCTCACTCCCTTTGGCTCCTCTGTCCAAACCCACCCTCTCCACCAGCTTCTCATTCTAGGAATCACTTTCGGAGACCTGTTGCCGAGTCTCCCACTCACTCGCTCAAGATTTTTGACACAGCTTCTCTTTGACTCTTCCTACCCCCACTGAATCTCCGCCTGGACTTGGTAGAAGGATTTTACAGAGTTATAATAGAAGGAAGAACTCGCCGTGCTCAGAAAATTGAAGGGAGGAGAAATTACTTCAGCTGGGAACATTGATAAAAGGCGTTGAGGAGAAGGCATAGTTAAATTTGTGTTGGGCCATTAAAGGCAAGAAGACTGAGGCCGATGGCTGTGGAAAGGGAAGGTGGGGCTGCCCAGCAGAGTTGACTGATGTCTTCCTAAACAGTGAGAGGAGGGAGCTCTGAGACAAAGCAAAGGAGGGAGGTTGGGATTACTGACTGCAGTCCTAAACAGACAGCAGCGATTTCTCATGCTCTGGGCAGCGACTGCCAGGTGCCATTCAGTGGACACCTGGAGGACTTCTGTGTGTTACCTGCCTAGGGATTTTCCTGCACAAGTCTGCGAAATAGCTGATAAGGTCATAACCCAGGATGAGGTCAGGTATAGATATTGGCTTGTATCCATGCCTAAAATGAGAATCTGGCTGTTCAAGTTATTTCAGAAGATACTAGGATCACATTGGACAGTGATTAAAAAATACATATATGGTGTTCTGAAGACCCTGTCTGGAAAATGATCTCACAGTCTGGAGGCACTAGTGGGACCAGATTAATCTGTTTTTGTTTCCTTGTTTTTCCCCCAATTCTTTATTTATAAAAATTTGGAACTTAGTGAAAAATGGAAGGAACAGTACAACAAATACCCATGTGCCCTTTACTTAGATTCCGTAATATGTTGACTCTTTGGCTTTCTCTCTATGTAAATATATACATGTATTCCTCAAAAGCCTCTCCATCTCCTGGAACTTTGTGGGAATCACTTATCCTTGATAACATCCCTTTCAGAACTCTACTGCTATTAGCTGCTATGGTCTGAATGTGTTCCCCGAAATTCATGTGGTGAAACTTAATGGCCCATGTGATAATATGAAGTGGTGGGGCCTTTAGGAGAGGATTAAGTTTATGTGTTTTATACATAATACTTTTTTTTTCTGAGAGGGGATCTCACTCTGTCTTCCAGGCTAGAGTGCAGTAGTGTGATTATAGCTCCCTGCAGCCTCCAACTCCTGGCCTCAAAGGATCCTCCCAACTCAGCATCCCAAATGGCTAGCAATATAGGCATCAGCCACCGTGCCCACAATTCTTTTTTACTTAAGCTTTCAAAAAAGCTTTTTCCCTGCAAATATTGAAGATACTGGTGTGCACTCCCATCCAGCCTCCTTCACTTGGCTGCTGAACCATTTCATGATTCTCATTTCTTTGTAGGTGACCTAGTTTCATTCTGGAAGTGTTTTAGAGATTTCCTATTTCTACTCTCTCCTTTTCTTTTTTCTTTCTCGTGTTTCTTTTTCTGGTGGAGCAACACCATCTACTTCCAGGGCCAGCCTTGGACATAGCACAATTATGGAAAAAACACCGTCAGCACTAAACACTCTGTCACATGCCAAAAAAAGTCCTGCAGAATCTGAAATGCCAACAAGTCGTCTAGACCTACTGGAATCTGTAAATTCTGTAAATCACAGACGATCTTTCCATTTCAACTAACATGACAAAAAGTTTCAGCTTTACTAACTTACTAAATCCCTGAGTGATTTTTAAAGTCTCGTATTTTTTTATTCCTAAATCAAAGAATGAAACAGATGTGAAAGTTATGTTTAAAAGAGTGGAAAGCCAAGATGACTGTTGCAGTTGTTAATGTTTAAAATGACATTTCAGATACTCTAATTAACCTAATTAACAGAAATTTTTGGAGCCTATTGGTCATTTTTTTAAAAGTTTTAAAAATGTGTGATTTATATGCCATAAATTCATGTGTTTTAAGTGTGCATGTCAATGATTTTAAATACATTTTCAGAGTAGTGCAGCCATCACCACAATCTAGTTTAAAACATTTCCATCACCCCAAGGCCAGTTTGCGGTCACTCCTCATTCTCACCCCCACCCACAGGCAACTCTTAATCCTCTTTCTGTCTCTAAAATTCTGCTACTTCTGGATATTACATATAAATGGGATTGTATAGCATGCAGTCATTGTGTCTCATTTTTTTTGTTAAGCATTGTTTTCAATATTTAAAATTGAGATATGATTACATATCATAAAATTCACCATTTTAATGTGTGTTCTTTAATCTTGATTATGAAATTTCACAAGGATGATTAAAGTGTTTGGGTGTTTTTTTGTTTTTGTTTTTGTTTTTCCTTCTTTGAGAGGCAGGGTGTCTCTCTGTTGCTCAGGCTGTAGTACAATGGCACAATCATTCCTCACTGTAGCCTCGAAGTCCTGGGCTCAAGAGATCCTCCTGCTTCAGCCTCCCCAAACCCTGGGATTACAGTCATGAGCCACCGTGACTGGCCAGATTAAAGTATATTTTTTCCTCATTCATTCTCTTCGGTACTTAATAAGCACATGTTTCTTTTCTGCTCTGACTCATCTGTATTTTAAACATTTCTTTCTTGCTCTTTTTCTCTGTTTTTTTTTTTTCCTGAAATGCCTATTAGTAGTCCTCTAACTCTTCCATTTTGTATTTGCCTCTAATGTTGATTTCTTCGACTTTTATTTTTAATTCATCTATGACATTGTAAAATCTAGAAGTTTATATTTTTAATTTCTTCTTTTTGTTTTCTTTCTTTCTTCTTTTTTTTTTAGAGACAGTGTCT